GGCACGGCGTCCCTCGGCATGGCGTCCCTCGGCACGGCGCCCGCCGGCACGCCACCAGCCCTGCATGGGAAGCCCAGTCGCCACGAGGTGAGGGCCCGACCTGTGGCACACAGCGTAGACTCTCAGCGGTGCAAGACGTCATTCCCGAAACAAAGGGTGTTTGCTGGTGTCTGGACGTGGGAGCAGAGCGTGCAAGTTGGGAAGCACTGCCATGAAGTGCCACAGAAGTGCTCAGTACCCCGATGAAGTCCGTGGAGGGGTTATCCCTCAGACTGACCCTCCGCTGCGCAGCCCCTCTGGCAGTCCCGGCTCCAGGACAGCTCATGGCTCCAGACTCGGTGGCAGCGGGCTGCTGGGTCACGGCTTCCCGCGGGGTGCTGCTCCCCGGGCGCTGAGCTACGGACGTCCTGCTGGATGTGACACCCGCGAGCGAGCAGAGAGGGGCAGAGGCCTTCGGGGGGGGCTTAGGACGGCGGCCGGTTCCTGGACGCCACGGCGAAGGGCGCACAGCAGCGGCCGCACAGCACGAGGTCCAGGGGCAGCAGTGAACGGGCCAACACGCCTCCAGAGCACGCCACAGCGTCTCGCTGTGGAACTCGGACGCCATACGAGCGTTTTTCTGGTTTCTTCATGTCTTTCATTTCTTCATTTCTCGTCAGCTGGCAGGGGCAGGGTGGGACAGCTCTGCCCTTCCAGCCCCTCTCCCTGTGCCGGGGACCCTTCGTGTGCCGCAGGGAGGAAACGAAGGCTCCCGCCTTGTGCGTGGCAGTGAGGGGCCTCGGTGCAGCAGGGATCCTGGCAGAGGCTTTGCTCTGGAAATCTTCACCTCCGCAGGAGCGGCAGGCTCCGCAACAGCTTTTTCCATGCCACATAATTCAAGCAAAAAAAAAAAAAAAAAAAAAAAAAAAAAAAAAAAAAAAAAAAAAAAAAAAAAAAAAAAAAAAATCAAAAATAACCACTGGGAGTTTGGGGATGTGGCCAACATGGGACTTCTTTTGACCTTCAGGGTGGAGAAGCCAACAGACCCTCTTCCATCCTGGCTTCTCTTTGTACCAAACCAAAACAGGCAGCACGCCGCTGCTGTCGCTGCTTTGCATAAATCAGCAGATCCAGCTTTGTGGCTCTTACTTGGGGTGTTTCCTATGAAAAGCACATCTGTGGCCATGCTTTTTGGTGCAATAGACTTTAGCCTGGAAGCAAAAGCACACAAACAATGTGAAATTCATGCTGACTGGAGTAGATTCCAAGGGAAAGAAGAGTTGGGAAAGCACCTACTTAAGTACTGACTAAGGATATTATCTCTGATCTGAATCTCGCCTCTGTGTGTGCGTTACTGTTGAGTACACAGTGCGGTTTCAGACATGGCCAGAGACAAGAAAAAATGATTGTTTCAGGGTAACCACAAGGAAGATGAATGCAAATGTATTCCTGTAACTGGGAGAGTTCCCTTGCTCTTAAGTTGGGCTCCGGTACATGGCCTCAGGGAAGTAAATTTGCAACTACCTTCATTAAATTGTTTAGGAATGATTAATCAGGAGTCAGAGACGTAACATTTTTTGCACATTGTGAAATGTTAATTCAGTTCCTGCAGTTCCGTACAGTCTGCAAGGGTGGCTTTAGCGAATGGTCTGGGGACAGGTACTGGTGGCTGACAGAGGCTTCCTGCCAGCCCTTATCTCCCCCGAAGCCCGGGGCTGATAAGCCT